TCTCTCTTTATTTATTCCTTCTCTTTCTAGCTTGTACTTATTTGAACAATGTCTAAGAACTTGGTATTACAACCACTTCTTGTGTCTGTTTGCCTCTTAAAGAAGAATCGCTTTATGTATCCCCCAATTGTAAGTCGCTTTGGATAAAAGCATCTGCTAAATGACTAAATGTAAATGTAATATTTCTGTCCACTGACAACAAAGTTTTCCTTCTGAATTAACATAACTGCATAAGTTTTATAGTTAAAGAGACGTACTCGTATAAACTCTCTTTAGTGGGGTCGGGGTTACTGTCCAGGATTCTCTGGTAGTGGCTCTGGTGTGCTGATCCGGCGTACTGCTCCTCAAACTCCTCCAGCTGCCCTCGCAGGTGTTCGGGGACGCTGAACGGATCCATGCTGCTCAGGAACATCCTGGAACATCACACGCACAACGTCACCGAAACTGACTCGCTTCACGGATGTGACATGCAACGGTTCTGAACTCACAAAGCGTCTTCCTCAGAGAACAGCTCATCTTCCTCATCCTCATCCCTCGTATGTCCACCTCTCATTCCAGACAGCACAATAACAGACTGAAACACACAGACACACAGATGAGCATCAAGCACGCCGGTCCTGCGCCGCTGCACTGACCACGCTCACCTTTAACTCCTTCTGCTTCTTCTTGCGATGCCGGTTTTTACTCTTAAATACTGAGCTCTGAAACACACACACAGAGAGAGTCATCTACTCAAACTCAGGCTAAGCACTTCAGAATGAACACTTCAGCACGCGTCTCTTACCATGTGCTCGTCATCATCCGTCTTTTTAATGACTAAACAAACAGCGTCTAAAGACACAGAAACACAATTTATTTAAAAACTGCCTTCACATATAAAACGCTTGTTCTGATTTACGTACCGTCTTCAAAATACTGATCGAGAATGGAGTGACAGGAATGATAGCGCTCTCGATTCGACTCTAGAGTCCAAATAAACAGACGCTTTTCTTTAGCCGGAGCCTGTCTTAAGTACTCCATTACAGTTAAACCGTCACGGTCAAATAATTCCGGAACGGTGCCGAACTTCTCGATGAGTGTCTCCTGCAGCGGTGTGAACGTGAGCAGAGGCTTCAGGTCCAACTCCTCCAGATGAGAGCTGTAACGACTGACGAACGACTCCGCGGCTTTCAGACCTGACGGAGGAGACACACATCAGACTGATTAATGATGGACACTTGTACACAATATTCAGTCGTGAAAACGGCGACGTTTAGTCAGAAGATGTGGAAGTGAACAGCAGTGTGAATGAAACGCACCAGCGTTATCGAGCTGCTGAGCCCACTGCTGCACTTTGGGTTTGATATGAAGCATCAGGCCGAGCGTTTCGATGAAGACTCGAGCCCAGACCCGGTTTCTGGACTCCAGCAGAAGGTCCACCAGCTCCCACAGAGGTCCAGGGTCTCTACGGCTGTTTAACACACTCTCATGTCCTTTACGCTCAAATAAATCCAGCCACGGCCGCAGATGCACCAAAAAGCAAGAAATATTCACTGACTCTTCTTTAAAAAGTCCTTTGTTATCATGAATTTGATGTAATACACGGTCCATATCAATACAGTCTCTGGGTGGCTCTGCAGGAACGATAAGAACAGAGATACAGTGTTATTAACAGCGGTTCTCATCCGGGGGTCCGGGGCCCACCAGAGGGCCTCAGAAATTACTTTAAATAATTTAAATAAAACAAAACAAGCAATATAGTTCATCCAAAAATGAAACTTCTGTCATTTACTCACTTGTTTCAAAGCTAACCGTTTGGGTCTCATTGTGAAAGTGTGATTTCTAGACCTTGAATCACGGGTGGAGGTTTGATTGTGGCATTGGTGGAGACGTAACGGCAGACAACAGATATTTAATTGTTTGATCAAAATTATTGCTAGGGATAATTTAGCAGTGGCTGATATTAGTAGGGAACATGTCATAGCGTCTCTACTAAACTCTGCACCCTAGCCTTGAAAAGTCCTGACTTCATAAGCGTTATTACCGGTATAATGAATTTGTATTTGGATACCTCTCTCTGCCGTCGGGTCTTCCGCAGCCGTTACTTCCTTTCTCTCTTGACAGGCAGAACGTGTTGCCAACTTGTGTTGTTTCCGCCAAAGCTTTCGTTCATTTTTAGACTTCAACTTAATACTGTCGCGGTACAAAGAGAGAAGTCAGCGCCATCGACAGATGCAGCTTAAGTATGAAATACGATGCGTAAGATGCATTAAACGTCACCTTGTACATTGCTGCTTGATTCTCAATCGTCCAACAGGTCTGATTTTAGGAATAGATGATTTAAACTGAGAGAAGAAGAGAGGTAACCAATGTAAGCAAATGATACATCACTGTGAGTGTGTGTGAGAGAGAGTGTATGAGTGTGTGTGTGTGTGAGAGTGTGTGTGTGAGCGAGAGTGAGTGTGTGAGAGAGTGTGTATGCGCGTGAGTGAGAGAGAGAGAGAGAGAGAGAGAGAGAGAGAGAGAGTGTATGAGAGTGTGTGTGTGTGTGTGTGTGTGTGTGAGTGAGTGAGTGTACAGTGGGGCAAAAAAGTATTTAGTCAGCCACCAATTGTGCAAGTTCTCCCACTTAAAAAGATGAGAGAGGCCTGTAATTTTCATCATAGGTATACCTCAACTATGAGAGACAAAATGAGAAAAAAAAATCCAGAAAATCACATTGTAGGATTTGTGTGTGAGAGAGAGTTTGAGTGTGTGTGTGAATGTGTGTGTGTGTGTGTGAGAAAATGAGTGAGTGAGAGAGAGAGAGAGAGAGAGATGTCTCACCTCACACTTTATCAGCCCCGTCAAACCATATATTACGATGTGACAGACCTGACCTCCACAGTCTGGTGTAAAACATGAATCTTTTAGAAAATCCTGCAGTAAACAGATAAGAACAGTTAGCGTCTGTGCCATCCTCAGGTTTCTCTCATAAGCGTCGTCACACGTGTCCGTCTGACCTTGTCGTTCTTATCGGAGAATGAAAGTGTTTTGAGCTTCTTCCAGCAGCTCATATGAAACTCGACTCTGCAGCTCTGACAGCAGGTCAGCTGGATGAAGCCCTGCAAACAGCACACGCTCGTTACAGATCGCCAGACCCATCAGGCAGCAGATTCAGCTCCGCACACTCACCTTAAAGTCTGGATCGCTGAAGTAGATCTGCACCGTATGAGAGAGGCAGTGCTGATACCAGCAGACCGCGTCCGCTTTAGGAGGAAACTTACACACCTCTATGAAGTCCTCCAGATGTTCCTTCAGGACAGAAATGTTCATGTCTTTCAGTTCATGTCTGTTTGCGTTAAAGGATTTTCATTTTTGGGTGAACTATCCCAAAGGGATAGTTCACCCAAAAATGAAAATGTGATGTTTATCTGCTTACCCCGGGGCATCCAAGATGTAGGTGACTTTGTTTCTTCAGTAGAACACAAATGATGATTTTGAACTCCAGCCGTTGCAGTCTGTCAGTCGTATAATGCATGGCAATGGTAACAAAATCTATGAGAGTAAAAAAAACATGCACAGACAAATCCAAATTAAACCCTGCGGCTCGTGACGACACATTGATGTCCTAACACACGAAACCATCGGTTTGTGCGAGAAACCCAACAGTATTTATATAATTTTTACCTCTAATACACCGCTATGTCCAGCTGCTTTGAGCGCGCGCACGGCATCCGGTGCGTGAGGTGTGTACGCGCTCTGCCGTAGTTTACGTTAATGACAGGCACAGTTTATTAACAGAAAATAAACAAAATGTCCAGAAAAAAGGGAATCAAGTGTCCAAAATAAACAGGGGATCTGGTGTCCTTGTCGTGCTGCGGGGTTCGTGAAGGGAAGGGCAGTGGTCAGGAAGGAAGGAAGGGTCCAGGTAAGGGGCGGAGTCCGGCGGCCG